GGTTGATTGTAAAGTCGAACCAGATGGGAGTTTCATCCATATTGAAAATGTTACGTAATTCAAAAGATTTTACCATTCTAAGATAAATGATATACTGACGAAACCTTTCTAACAATTCTTCAGTTTATGCAAGGAGTTTTTGTGAAATTCTTATACGTCTCCACTAAGCTAATTTGTACATTTTCATAAATGCAGACAACCAATGATCTGATATCTTAAAATTCTTCACTGCACTATATTCCCTAGCTTCCCTTAAAATATCTAACATTTTAAATCGTACTATAGCATTTGTTATTGCAAGACCCTACTTTTTTTGATCAATTATAACTTTTTTTAGCTTCAGGGCAAAAGGCTTTTTGACTAGAACTAACTTGTAAACTGTTTTGGTTTATTTTAGTTACCTAACATGAACTTGCTTTTACCCAACATCCAACTATAGTAGCATCAAGCTCAAAGTGACGCGCTTCTTTGTTTCTTTTATGTTGATTAGTATAATCAACAACAACTTTTTTTTGTTTAATGGAATAAGATTTACGGTTATGTTTGATAGTTTGGTTACGTTAGTTTTGTTGAAAAGTTTTTTTACGTTTACTAACTTTTGTGGCTTTGGATTTTTTCTTGGCATTTTTTGTGTGATATTAAAACAGGTTTTAAAACAAGTACGCGTAAAGTTAATGTTACTAAAGTCATGCTCTATTTAAAGCCACTTTGTCACGAAAATCATCATAATCAAACATTCATAAAAAAAAAGTTTTTTATCTTTGCTGGTAGTGGCAAATTGATAAGATTTTAATCGGTCTTGGATAAATAGCAGAAAACGAAAATTAAATTTGAAAAATGTAATACAATTACAACAAAAAAATTAATAAAGATAGCATATGGATAAATCTACGGAAAAATATATCAAAGCCGAAAGGCAAAAAGAATTAAGAAAAATTAATGCAATTCAAAATAATTATCTTTAAAAAAATCACCTGAAATTAAGCACCGCTATAGTAAAAAGGGGTGCTTATTTTCGGGAGTATACAGTATGTACTTTTGTATAAAATCTTTGTATAAAAAAGAAGTGATTTATCACACATGTTTACTTTCTATTGATTTATAATCTCTTTGTATACGATTTGTGGTTTTAAAGGAAACTAAGGAAACTAACCGGTTATTATTTACTGATTACTCCATGATAAGACAGAAACAAGTTATTAGTGCTGTCCATTATTATTATTATTATTATTTTTTATCAATCACAAATCCTTTCTTTTTTTCACAAGAAAATAAAGGGTACTTGGTTTGTCATTATTAAAAGTTCTAAAAAAATAACAAAAACTTATGCGAATTCTCTCTCATTTTAATATGCAAAGGATTTCGTGTAACACATATTTCTGAATTCTTTCCCTCTTATATTTAAATTTTAAAATAAAAAATTAGCTCGTTTCGTAAAATGCTCTTTCATGCATAACTGGAGAGTATCGTAAGTGTCTAAATCCCGAATTTTTTGTTGTACGTTTAACCATCCGTCGCACTGAAAAATAAGAAACACTGCCACATAGGTCCAGATTTTTCTTTTCAATAAAACCTTTTAAAAAAGCTTTCCAAATGAAAGGAAAAATAGTTCCCAATCTACAGTGTTTGATTTTACGAATAAATCATACCAACCATTGCCAACATTTTTTTTCAAACGGAAGGTTCACGAAAAGTAAGAACTTTCGAGCGACCCATATCTATCAACGTAATAAAATTTAAATAAATTTAAATTTAAATTTAATGGATATACTGTACTGTATATGGAAAGATATTTTAAATTCATCTCACAAATAATAACGCTTTGGGACTGTTGTAGCCCAAACGTCGCTATGTCCTAAGTTAAACTTGGGATATCCCAAATCGGAATTCCTATTTCGGACTTCTCAAACTGCAATTTCTAATTTTGGTGTCCCAAACTTGATTATGTTTCAAATTCAACTTGGAATATCCAAAATCGGATCTGGGATATAGTCAAGTTTGGGTGTCCGATATCCCAAACTTTACCGTGTTCCAAACTAACCCAGTTAGTTTGGTTTATGGTCAAGTTTGAAACATATTATATCAAACACAACCGTGTCCCAAATTGACCTAGGTTTGGAGAATCAAATGTCCCAAACTTGACCATATTCCAAATTGACCTAGGTAGATTTGAAACATATTCTGGTTTGGTCTTGTATGTCCCAAACTCGATCATGATCTAAATTGATTTGGGATATGGTCAGGTTTTTGGGTATTAAATGTCCCATACCCCAGATTCAATTTGGGATATCCCAAGTTAAATTTGGGACATGATCATCCAAAATCGAAATTCCAGTTTGGGAAGTCCGAAATAGGAATTCCGATTTGGGATATCCCAAGTTTAACTTGGGACATGGTTACAACAGGACCATCATTTGATTACATTACCAAAGTGCCATATAACATTTACGAAAAAGTTACAACAAAAGCAAATATTTTTAGTGGAAAAGTCGCCTTTTGAATCAAATTTGACTACTTTTAAATAATACTAATGATCATTTATTAATTTAATCCTGTGAAGATAATATATTTAAAGGATATTTGAATTTCGAAACTATGCTTATATGCTTAATATTAAGCTACTTAAAAATTTTTTACATCTTATAGATTCCGTTCATCATCCCCTGCTTCGACTAAATTAGCATGAAGACAGGAGTGACAGAAAAAAAAAATGCAAATACAAGAATTTAATTATTTAAAAGTATGCAGACTTGTATCGAGATGCATTTTATAATTTTTATTTAATGATTACCGATTATATTGATCAATTAATATAAATCTAATAATATAAACAACGTAAAGCTACAATATATACTTAAGTTTAAGTGTAACTTATTAAATACGTTCTGGATTATATTGGATATTCAATATTTTTAATAAATTATTCTTCATATCCGGAAATTCATCTATTTTCCATTCACCATCATTAATTAAATCAATAATTTTTTTTTTCGTTTCTTTAGCATCAGCATAATAATATCTGTAAAATAAATTCATATGAATTAGAATAAATGTAATAATGAAATAAAATAAAATTGGAGACAATGTAGAAAATAAGACTCACATCACATCTGGAAACCAGGATTTCCAACGTCTTTGATTTGGCAATAAGTAAAACAACTCAATTTCTGCCAAAATCTACATTGTATAAAAAAGAATATTAGTTAATATGACATATAAAAAAAATATGTATAGTACATTACAGATACCTTCGCTTTTTGTATCAAATAAGCAGCTCTATTATTGTCTTTATTGATTTCAAGATTTAGTAACCCAATGAATAAATTCATAAGATATACGACAACCAAGAAAGAAAATAAAACCATTAATACAACAAGCACCGAGTTATCTTTATATGGCCAATTGGTTAGAGCACTTGAATCACCTATAATAAATTAAATTATCTAAAATAAGTACCCTAATATATTTCAAAATAATGATGTTATAATACTCGTAAAAAATACCTGTTAAAAATAAAAACATCGCGAAAAGTGCAGTTTTATAATATTCGAACATGTTTGTATTTTCATCTGGTGCTTGAATTAGAGATGATGTATCATTATGATAATTATTGGTAAAAGTAGTAGTAATTGTCCAAGGATCATCCAAAGACAATAAAATATAAAATGCATGTGCAAAACTAAATAAAATGATTAATAAGACCACAAGGAAGGATATTACTCGTTTTGCAACACCAATAATAATTGCAAAATAAACGCCAAAAGATTCAAATACTCTAAAGAACAGTAAAAATTTAAAATCAAGAAATAGACATGTAAAAGAAAGTAAATAGACATTTCTGTAATCTGTTTTAAGCCAAGAAATGGAGGCACAGATTGTAAGTAGGTATGCTGTTATATCTATAATAAAAATTAAATATTATTTATAACATTTCCTAATATTGAATTGACAGTAATATAACGTACCAAACATATTCCAAAAATCATGAATCCACTTAATAGGACTATAAATAATTTGACGAACTTCAAAAGTTAAGTGTATAACTCCGAGAATAATAGAAGAAATTAAAAGTGATTTTCCAGTATCTTCAGATACAGATGCTGTTGCGGGGATAGTAAAACATACAAATAAAGCAAGAAATCCCATCCAAATCAATGTATAATAAAGTTTTCCATATGAATTCCACTTGAAATTAATTAATGCTTCGCCGTTCCATGTTTTATATATATCTTCAGTAATTGTTTCTACAAATGGACTAGACTGAGGTCCAAATATTTCCCACCAACTATAGTCATGTGGATAACTTACAAAATTGATATAAGGTATAATAAAAGTAATTGTAGGTTTAGGTTTTTTAAAAAAATTAATATAATCAAAATAACTATCGTAAATTACCCTTGGCATCGTTAAAAATAGGACATAAATTTCATTAATAAAACCAAAATAATGTAGCAATTTAATAATTATAGAAAAATAGATATTATAAACGATAATCCAGAATATAGAAGGAAGGAAGGAAGGTCCAAAAAACATTAAAACAAAAAAGCATAAAAAAGAAATTACAACTGTTAAAATAACTGTAACAAATGACGTTACAATACCAAATAATTTTACCATTTGATAAGCACATTTTGTCAAAAAAATAGATGGTGTCAAATTATATATTTTAATATTTTCAGAAAAAGGAAAAAGTTGTGAAGTTGTAAGATGTTCAATTTTATAATCAGAGGAATCTATTATCATGTTTGTATCCAACGAGTATCTTATAATATATTCAGGATAATATTTCGATAATAATGGCATTGAAGTAGTGATGATGCTTAAAAACGGCTTATTATTTTCTAAATCTTCTTTAAAATTATTTAAACATTTTTTATAAATGTCTTCTATTAATTTTAAATTATGATTCTTAATTGTAAACTTTAATAAATTAACACCATATTTTAAAAAATTTTTTTTATCATTCTTTACATATGAAACCCATCCATCAATTCGAAATTCTATTTCTTCATTATTATCGCCGTGTATACCGTATAAAAATGATAAAAAATACTGGTACATACTATAAGGAATTTCAACGAGCCCTCTATTATAATGACAGATATTATTTGAAAATTATCCAAAATCAACTTATTATCATTTGTATTTAAATGAAAAATAAAAATGCCGATATTTGTTTCTATAGCAATATCATTACTCTCAAATATCTTACAATTATATATTGCTATATTTTTATTATATCTGGTTTTTTTAATTTCTTGGCAAATTAAATTATTTTTCTTATAAACACGTATTCCAATAATTCCATGAAGATAAATATAAATGTCTAATCGAATATCCCCTAATTCACATATTTTTTTAGGTTTTCCAAATAATTCGGTTGTATTATTATCCGGAATGAAAGGATATTCATCGGCTTCATTTCCGAAATATGATTTCCAACTTTCTGTAAATTCATCATTATAATAATAGGCATCGATATTTTCTTCTAATAAAAAATTGATATCAAATTTTAACTCGTCAAATTTAAACTCGTCAAATTTAATTTTCCAAACGTGTCCGTCCATAATTACAAACATATGAAAATCATATAATAAACTTGGGATTTTCGGCAAACACTCATGGTTATATTCATCTGTCGACAAGTTATAAGTCTTCCAACAGGATTTAATGATAAAATTCCAAATTTCATTATTTGAATCATAATTAAAAAAATCAAGTAACATACAATGTAAACCATTACATTTCATAAAATTGTATAGCTGTTGATCTAAAAAAGTAATAAATAATTAAATAATATATGGTTTACATAAAATTATTCAAATAAAATAATACCATCATTTGAATCCAACGACACACTCTTCTTATCTGTTTTAGAATAAACGATAATTTTATTATTTGTTTTTAGACAAGTAAAATTTTCATTATTAGAAATTCTAATATCTTTCACATCTATAGTTTCACCCTATTAAAAATGTTGATTTATTAATATTGTAACAAAAATTTAACAAGTCAAAAATTTCTATCATTACCTCATATAAATTTGTTGTAATAATTGTAAATTGACCAGTAACGATATCCCATTCATGTATGCGACTATTTATACGTAGCCAAATCTTATCATTTTTTGATATGCTTACTAGATTCACTTCGTAAGGTATTTCATAAATCCTTTGACATATCCATTTATTACTTTTAGTCTGAGTTGAATAAATCCAAAGAATCTTTTTTTTGAAACTATTACCATATAAAATAAATTCTCCCCTTGCGTTAAAGTTACAATTAAATTTGTTTATATAAGATTTAAAATACAATTCTATTTCTTGAACTGGATTATTCATATCAATTATTTCTAATTAAAAAAAAGGAAATGCAATTATAAAATATTAATATAGTCATCATTTGAAATAAAAAGTTATTTATTACTTACTTAAATATTTATGTATTCCAAGTTTATCATAATCAACAAATGAACCATACTCTACATTACTGTAAACTAGCTCCTTATTATCAGAAATACACATTTGAACAATTTTTTCCATTTCGTCTTCAATAGGTATAATGTGGAAATGTTCTTTCTCTGTAGGTTTAATTGGCTCAAGCTTGCCTTTTTCTACACCAGCATTCCACCCAACAATTGTTTTGTCTTCTTCACTATAAGTAACTATATAATTTGCATTTGGTGATATTTCCATCATAGTAATAGGTTTACCGTTATGCGGTTTGTCTTCCATATTGCCAGTACTGTTTTCGTCAAATATTAGAGCGATAAAGATTTTTCATTAAAATTATTTAAAAGTAATACTTCCGTGAAAAAAAAAAGTCCTTTCCTTTATATCTGTTGTGCAAGTGATCATCTGGGATAAATGCGCATTTGGGACAATCATTTCGGACATACATTAACGTTTTGGGCCATCCATTTCCAATACTAAAATTTTCATTTAATGTAATCTAACTTATGAAAGTTTTTCATTCATTTAATCAGTCAGCTTGTCTATTTATCATGATAAAAGTGTATATTTTGAACCAAAATTTAATAAGTTTATGGTTCAAAGTATGTAAAAGCAACAACCTAGTTTAAGCGAATCATGTAAGGGATTTATTAAGATCAGTATAATTTTCATTTTACAAATACCTTTATTTTACATTATATCTTTGCTTTATCCTTCCTAATCTAATACTTCTGCCTTTAAGTTACGATATACGAAACGAAAGGTACTAATTGCACTTCTTTACATGTTGTGCACCACTATACCGGAGAATGCTTCTGAGTTAAGTGATGGAACCCCCAAGTAAGGTTAGAAGGTAGCTTATCACGACATATTTATCCGGAATTTTTAACGTTAGCACAAAAAGAGGCAATGTCGTTCTACTTTTTTAGAATAAAATAAAAATTAAAATAGCATAGTCATGCTGGTTATAGGTGGCATTTTCAACGAGATAATACACCGACCTATACCGTGAAGCTTACTTGTTGATCCTTTGTCGTAAAACTCTCCAGATTTATATCGATCGAGATCTATTGCTATGCTCAAAGGTGAAAGGTTAATGATTAATTAGGAAAATCAAATACTTGGGTGCAGATGATTTTTTCAGGATAATTTTGTGAGAATGGATAATACCGATTAAGGAGGGTTATAAAAAGGTAATAAGATAAATTATTAAATTTTAAGTATGTTTAACTATATGAATTTAATTAAACAAAATAAATGCGAACTGTAGTTTCAGATTATGATCTTGTGTAATCGTAGAGTGGTTACGATGGGCTGCGTCATTAAAAGATAAAGATATCATCACATGATCAGATTCTACACGTTAGATCATAAAATTCAACCCAACCCAATAAATCGAATTTTTTTTTTTTAATAAATACGCTTAAAAAAATAATTTTGATTTAATGATCGAAAAAAATTTTCTTATTCTCAATTTTTTTTTTTTTTTTTTATAATTTCTCAAATAGCCAATCCAAATCAAACGAAAAAGTGAATAAAAAATTTATAATTCTTAACTCTAAAAGACTTTAAATAGCAAAACTTAAGTTTTCTATATATACAATACAATACTATATATAATAAAAACATAATTTTAAGAGTACATATAAAAAAAAGAGTGAATTACTAAATTTAGTTTAATAAATTCTTCAAAAAAAATTGAAAAAATGAAAATTTTTATACATAATTTTTTAAAAAAAGCGTCAAAGTTGCTTACGTATGGGGACTTAAAATACAAATTAAAAAAGTTGTCAAAAAAGGTATTAAAAAAAATTGTGCAATTAAGTGTATATATAAGCAAGAAGTTGAGAACAAAATGGAAACAAATATACAAAAACGAGAATAAAAATTTTTTTCGTTACGCTAAATAATTATAAATTGCAATCCTCAAAGCTTTTTCTCGTTAACGACGACGTCATTATCGCGAATAGCAACAACTCGATTTTCATGATGAATAATTTTTCCACCACTATATCGAGAAATCAATTCAGATTCAATTTGAGGATAAATCTCATCGCTCGTTCGACCATTGCAAGTGATTAAAATGCTTTGTTTATCATAGTATTCCAATAGTGGTTCGGTTAATTCATGATGTTTTTGCAATCGAATTTTAAACGTGTCCTAAATAATAACAGTTATAATAAGATTTCAATGTCAATAGCTTTTTCACAAAGATTATTTTGATTAATTAAGATAATTACCGGGTTATCATCAGCGCGTTTTGTTAATATTTCACCGGTAATATCATCGAGTCCAGGTATTCTCGGAGGGTTGTAACTTAGATTATATATGCGTCCTGATGGTACATGAACCCATCGATCTTATAATTTGATAAAATTAAGTTTAAAACGCAAACGAAAAAAAAAATCACAACGATAAAATAAAACTTCATTGATTTATCGACATACCCATGATACGTTGAAGTATAACTTCTTCAGGTACATGAAGATTAATGACTAAATTTAAAGGTTGACCTGATGAAACTAAATTTTCATCCATGGATGTCGCTTGATTAATGGTTCGTGGAAATCCATCTAATAACCAGTTCTTTTTTACAAACATATATATAAATATTTTTTTTATATTTTTTTTTTTTCGCATGAACATTATACACCCGCTAAACCGTATATACCTGTCTATTAAATCTTTGAAGTTCATCAGTGATCAATTCGATCATAATATCATCTGGAACATATGCTAGAATGGAAAATAGTGAGCTCGATATGTTAGAACAATGACTATTTTTTTTATATTTTTTTTTAAATCGAAGTTACACAAATAGATACCAGTGAAGCTGGTTTTTCCACTTTTTCTTGTTCTGACGACCCAATCCTTTCTCGCAATTTAAGTTTTTGTTTCCTAAATTCCAATTAAAGGATTTCAGAAGATTCCCAATAAATAGCCCTGTTAGCTTACCTCCACATTCCATATGCTTTGCAGCAATTTTACCAACTTTTGTACCCTTTGCTATATTCTGACGAAGGAGGTCGCCACTAGTTATGGCCGACATATTAAAATTTTTTTGTATGCGAGTGGATTGAGTTCCTTTTCCAGAACCCTTAACAAAAAGACAAAAAAATAAAATAATTTAATATTTCGAGTAATCCTAATAATTATATTTCATTTTTATGAAAGAACATACCGGACTACCAAGAAGTAAAATACGCATGGGTAACTCTTCTGTCGTTGGAGACGCGTATTTTACGAATGCAGAACCATGAAATTGTGTCTTCTTATTATGAAAGTCATGACGATTTGTAACACTTGTTGACCTTATAATATGACTAGCAGTTTGCGTTTTTTTCAATAAATTTTTTAAAGTTAAAATTGGTCTAATGAAACGCATTATAAAATATATTAGTCTTTTTTTTTGTTTTCGTCTTATCTCTCGTGTAAAAAAAAAAATGAAACGAAATATGCCGAAATTTCCCAGGCTTATTTATACCCGACAAAAGTTTGTTTATTAAAATGTCCAATATCATATGCATAATTTCCCGAAATCAAACACATTTTCTCATGATATCATTTCCATTTCCCATTGTACATTACGTTACAAAAGTAACATTTTTGTACTTCCATCTGATCTTATGTTATACAACATAGGATATAAGCCTTATTTAGCCATTTTCATTTCAAAATCATCATCACCAGATTGATGATATTTATGTAAATAAAAAATACGTCACACAACAAATATTTTGCTGACAAATAAAAAGGATTTCTTTTTTTTTGGATAATTCGAATAATTCGAGAAATGTTCCAAGATCATCAATGATAAAAAAATCATCTTTTAAAAATATTTTGAGATGGAAAATCTTTGCGACATATTAAACTTTAAACGAGAAAAAAGTAAATTAACGGAGAAACGATTTCGCTTTTTTAGATCAATGATCAAACACGAAATTAAAATATATTGGTTGATGGATCATTTTAAATCTTAATCATGTGGTAATTGTAATCACACTTTGCGCTTCTACGAATTATGAAAGCGACGTGATATATCGAAAATCGGACGATGTCCAATTGATATATGATCACATGATTAATTTATTAATTTAATAAGGTGTTACCCTATTATCATAAACAAACAATGGTCATTAAGTTTCAGTTCCGACTTCGGAATTCGTGTAAAACTCACCCTTAAAATATGACCGAGTTTACCAAATCTGGAGCGGCTAATTTTTAAAACAAAACCTCTCTTTCTTTATTAAAAAAAAAAAACTCTCTTTCCATAATCATGCCAAAGAAATATTTAGTATGTTTTATTACATTGCAATTATTATTTGTGATACATTCGATAAATTCACAGTCGACATCATTCATTCCAACAAAACGATATGAGCATTCTGCGACGTTTATCGGTAATAAACTATATATCTTGGGTGGTTTAAGTCTATCACCAAAAGTATCAGCAAAAACGATTGGAAAAGAATTTTTTTATCTCGATTTTTCGGCTTCATTTGATAATCAAAAATTAACATGGAACGATTTAACAAATATTAATACAGTTCCATCACATTTTGATGGCATAACGGCTAATGGTGGTATAAAAAATAATACTTTGTTTTTGTTCGGAGGAACGTCAAATGGTGATAATATGGATTTGGTATACACATTTGATACCCAAATGAATTCATGGAATGTTCCAGTAATTACGGGAAATGCTAATAGAAAAACAAATTTATTTGCTAGTGTCGATGCTTTGGGAAAAATATATTATTTTAATGGATTCACTTTTTCTAGTAACAGCAATGAACTTGATTTTGTAATTTTAGATACGATAAATTTTAGTTGGGGAAGAGGAAATATCACCAATGCGCCTTCCGCTAATCAGGATTATGGTTCTACCATTTTACCAAATCAAAATATCATTTATTTAGGTGGAATTTTTAATGGTAAACCTATTTCACTGAAAGTTGTTTATTTTTACGATACCGTTAATGATATATGGACCACAAAAGTATGTTATATAAATTTACTATCATAATATATAATGATTTGAATACGATTTATTTATCTCGCATTAATATAGACGACTTCAGGATTAGTCCCTTCCGATAGAAATAGTTTTTCGGTCGTTCCTGGTATGCATATATTAGTGGGTTTTAAATAATTTTGAACTTGTTAATTTTATTAATCTCTGAACTTTAATAGGACTGGATGGTCAACGAATAATAATTTTTGGTGGTATTGATGTTAAAGAAAATACCGAGTCACTTTATGAATTGGATTTAACCAACTTTGTATGGTCCATTCCAACTGTTACTGGCAAAAAACCTTCTAATCGACATGGCCATAGAGCAAACTTAATTGAAAAATACATGGTCATATCTTTTGGTAATTATATTATATTATTTTTTTTTTTTTAAATTTTAAATTTTATTTTAAAAAGCAAATATTTCTTATGTTTTTATAGGAAATGATTATAATTCGGATTTTGAAAGTGATATTCTACTACTTGATATTAGTAATAATGATGAATATAAATGGACAAATTTTTTTCAAAGCTCAAATGACACATCTTCTTTACCGACACAAACAGATATACCAGCTCCGCAAAAACAATCTGATAATAAAATTGCTATAATTGGTGCGATTTTAGGTTCCTTAGCTGGTATTTGTTTATTAACGCTTGGAGCTTTCTTTTTATATAAACGGACACGCAATCAAGGTCAAGGTAAAGTAATACCAACTCCCGGAGATAATTTTAATAATGGCCAAATATTGCTGATTCCTCCCGAAAGAAACATTTAATAAAACAAAAATAAATTATTATTACCAAGTGGAAAAATCTGTTATGTTTTAGCTTGCCGGATTAGGTGTGCTACTTTCGTTTTGATACAAACATTTAAAAATGAAAATACACTCACGTTGTAAAGTATAGAGGTTTTACTTTCAAAAACAGGTTTTATTCCCTTTTTCAAAATTGGAACCTTTTAAACCGGTTTTAAACCGGTTTAAAGTAAAATCGGTTTTGCTAATAATATCGAATTGCAACGAACGTTAACTTTTATTATTTATATTGCATTATATTTATTAAATACAAGAAAAGTTAAAGAAATAAAATACCCAAAACTACTGAAAGTGAAGCCAATTCAATCATTATTTATTAAAATTCAATCAAAAAACTTATTACATTTTAAAATATAACATTAATTTCGAGGTGGAAAGATATCTGAAATGATCACTATTTCTTTTTAAAAATAAATTTTGATTAACTAAATCCGGAGATAATTGTGTACATTTCGCAGAGATACCTGCATCTGAGAACTATCTCTCACTGAGAACAAAAGTTGCAGGAATTAATAAATATTTTCGTGCAAGTTGAGACAAAATAATAAAGCTACTTTTATTCACATCCTATCATTTTAAAGTATCATCTGAAATATCAATTTGCCGAAGTTTCATATAACGCAAAACCTCATCATCTTCTTCAATTTCCATTCCAACTCTTTACTTTCTAAGAAATCATCATCATCATTATTTATATGTAAATTGCGAATAGTATTTTGTTGTATATTAATATCTGGTTCAAGATCCCTTTTTTGCAGAATCATATAATTCCTGTAATAATTTATATGAATTATTTTTTTTCTTCACCACTTTCATTCCATTGAAAATTTTTAAATCGGGGGTCAAGTACCGTTGCAATTTGAACTAAATCTGTTAGAACTAACCAAAATTCATCTAATGTTAAAAAATAGCTGCCCAGACCTACCTTTTGAAGAAGACCAGTAGTATTAGCAATTTGTAAATATTCAACTCAATTAATATCACCTACATTTGTATTATCTGTTCTTCTTTTACTACAATAACTTCTTAGTTTTGCTTTTGCTTTTTCTTTTGTTATTGTATCTTTTGTTGAAATTGATTATGAGCATATTGCTAATGTTATTGTGAACCACTAGATGGAATTTCATCATCATCACTTAAACTATCAGATTCCTCTTCATAATTATTCTCAGTCTGTGATCCATAAATAAGGTTAAGATATGTACCATTATTTTCAAATTTAGATGCAAATGTTTTTTTCAATAATTCTATATAAGGATGGATAAGACTTAAAGTAATATATTTGTAATCGTTGATTTTATTTTAACAATTAAAATTAAATTGGAATTATATATTAATTTTTTATCAGAGAAATTATAAATTTATAAAGATATGAGAAAATTGGATTAGATTACATATTTCAAAAGCAAAGTTTAATTTAACTTTATAAATATGATATATTACCCTTTCAATTAGTGATAAAAGATTTATAGAAACCTTTAAAAAATATATAAATACAATAAGTATTAAATATATAAAATTATAAATTACTATTATTATTTTAAACTTACTGTTTTTCATTAAAAGATAAACATAATCATTCCAATTTTTCTTCTTCTTTTGTGATATTCAATCTGATTTTGTTAAAAATATAGTAGAATCAAATCGTATTAAATTATATTCTTTCCAAGCATAATATGTAGAATTCTATTTAATCTTAACATCAGTTAAAGATATCAAGTGGATTGCTATTATTATTTTCTTCTAATAATTGTCCAGAACTTTGTTAAGCTTTTCAAAGTTACTAAGCCTATTTTAGTAAACAAATGAATGTCTGCAAATATTTTACTTGACGATACACTGATTTATACTAGGAAACGGGAACTGTTGTGAAGTCTGAAGTGAATATTCACCTACTTTATAGCTCATCATTGTTTTATTCCCAACACATTCCTAACACATGACTATGTCTCACCGTGATATACACTTCACCTAGTGTAATTATAATATGATCGGCTATTAAAATCACCTTATGGATCATATGATTTACTATAATCCTTAAGGTGATTTTTAATAGCATATACTAGTTAATAATAAAATAGCTAAAATTAATGCTAAAAAGTTTAACTAACAATCTCGAAGAATGCAAATTGCAACAATTAATAGTAAATTTTTTATTACATACAATTTTTAATTATTTTAATTTTAATTATTTTTTTTAATAAAAATATTTTTTAAAAAGGAATTTTTTTTGTTTGATTGACATTGCATTTGTTTACATTTGTTTATTTAATATGTTTGGTTCGCGTGATTTTATTTACTTAACATTTATTTTATATATAGAACCTGCAGTGTATTGCAAGGAACCAATAATCTGCATTGACTTATAATTTAAGCGGGCGGACAACAGGAACTCAATCATTAAAGTGTCTGTTAGTATATAGTCCTTCGCTTCGCTTCAGACTAATTATTTTAAACTCCATAAAACTAAAAGTTGTAATGTATAAGTAGCATAAGATTATCTTCTTATTTGTAATAATATTTCTTATCCAAAAGTCAAACAGCTTTTATCATACTAAAACCATTATTAGTTACAATAGTAAGTATTATGTTTGATAAATGTCAATCATTTATAATTTGAAATAATTTATCACTAATAGCTGAATGTGAATAAGAAAGATAATTGCAAGATAAAAGTGCTTCACAAAATTTGAAGTTAGATATTAATCATGTTATTATTATATCAAGATATTTATAATGAGATTTTGTGATTTATAGGCTTATAATCAGATGAATAGCAATAATATTATTACTTAAAAGTGAATAAAACTATTCTTTACTTCATATAAATGAATTATGTATTATAATCTTTACTAAAGATGGAGGACAAAGTCTAAAAAAAACAATTAATAAATAGCTAAAATTATATTAAAACATAGTAAAAGGTATGACAAAATCTCAAAATCTGAAATTAGCTAAAACTATATTAAAAACATAATAAAGGGTGTGATAAAATTATTTTGAGGGAGTTTTGATAAGCATCTTTAGTCTTTACTGTTTTATCATTTGGTATTTTATAATTAGATTCACAAGTAAGAAATAATTTGCAAAATGTGAATTTTGTAAAATATATAATGGTTGAGCAAATTTAATAATAAAGATAATAAGCTTTTATGTAATAAAATCTTGTTGTTTTGTTAAACATAAAGTTGCTGATTTAATTAAAAATTCTGTAATTTGAGATTGATCATGTTGAGACTATTAAATAGATATTAAAAATTACTCTTTGTTTTATATAAATCTTAAAACTAAACTAAATATTATAATACATTTATAAGTAAAAAAAAAGATACTTGCACAAAAAATATAAATGTATAATATGTATAATATATATCTTATTATTATTACCTAAATAATTCAAATAATTATTCTTTGAAATATTATGTTTATCACATAAATGATTAATAAAATTTGTTATAATTCTACCTTTTCATTGATATGAATAAAGACTTTTTTATATATTTTACAATAAATAATAAAAGGATCAACCGGATTCAAGTGAAAAAAATAAGATGTATAACTCAGATTACTGCAAGTTTTAGTGATATCAGTAATTGTGCAATATTTTTTTGATTTAAACTACTAATACGTTTAATTATTTCAATTTCAAAATCAATTTTAATAGAAGAATTAGATTTAAAAGAAATGAGAGTATGTTTTTCATATTTTTTTTTAATATTAAAAAAACTTTTATAAAGAATGAACTAAATTGAATCTTTTTTTTAATTATTATCTACTGATAATGAGGATTCTATACAATATAGAAAATTTACAATTTGAAATTGTGCAAAATTTATGACTTTTAAGCTAATAGGTAGCCAAATTAGAAGAAATTAACTTTTTCAATTTATTTAAAAAATTTTATGTTAAAATTTTTAAAAAAAAATTAAGCTTTTTGATGAAAGGGCTAATTGAAAGTATAAAATATATCTATTTTTGTTACATAAATAATTTGTCAAATATCAAAATACATAAAATTGATTTTATATTATCATTATTAAATTCAATTTTTTATGAAATAAATCAATTTTATTAAATCTAATTATTGAATCTAAAAAATTGAAACCAATTTTATGTTATAATTAGATTAAATCAGTTTTAAATTTAATTATGTTGAACCAGTTCTAATCTTTATTCAAATGAAATAAAATTTAAAAATAATTTTAATAGCAATATGATTAATTGTATTAGAAATTTCATTTCTTTATATTGTAAAATTTTTTTATAATAAAAAATAGAGAAAAAATAATAAATATAACTTTTATAATTAAAAAACTCATTGTATTTTAAGTTTAAATAACCTTGGATTTATTTTTTGAAAATATATTTGAGTAACTATATAATGATATATTATTCAGAAATAATATTTTATATAATCTTAAATTTTCTATTTTTATAAGATCTATGACTGATTATTTTTTAAATTACAACTTACAATAAGGTAAATATTTTATAGTAACATTTTAATTGAAGTTTAACTTTCTTATTTTTATATAATTTTGTAATACTTTTTGTATATTATATAAATTTTAAATAAACCTCTATATTAAAATAATAATTTTTATTTTTTTTTCTAATTAGTTTTTAATATCTTTTATATAAAATAATTATTTATATTATAAGAAAAAAAGCCAAATTTATCAAATTATGCTGTATTTTTTAAAAGTTATTAATATATAACAACTGGATAGCTTGCTATTTTTGCATGTTGGCAGTGATCCCTTGATACGTCTTTAATTACATACATATAAGACTTTGAAATTACTTTAGATTCTCAATACAATTACATATTAAAAACTGACAGAGAAATTCAACCTATCTGGATGTTACTAATAGATAGAATTCTTTAGTAATCTATTATTATTTTTTTTTAAAAAAATAATTTATATTAATACTTTTTATTAATTGAAAGTTTAAACTTTAAATTCTTTAATAAAAAATAAAATTTCTAATAATATAAAAACTATAAAAAACTAATATTAAACTTAAAAAAAATTGTTAATCAATTCAAAATTCAAATCTAATTAATAATTCATTAATATTTTATATTTTTATATTTTAATAAATAAACTTATATTTACTAAATTATTTTTATAAAACAATTTAAATTCTTATTAAAGTTCAAATTAAAGATAAATCTTAATAAATTTTTTTATTAGTATTTTATTTTAAAAATTTATATTTTAAATAAAAAATTAATATTAATTTATTTTTGTAAAATAATTTAAAATCTTAAATTAGGATTATAATAAAAATAAATTTTAATAAATGATTTATTAGCCAATTTTTTAAAAAAACATAATTTAATATTATACTTATTTTTAGGATATTAGACTTAAATATATTATTTTGAGTAATGGATTGGATACAAAAAATTATTTTTATATATGATCGTTTTGCAGTAAAAAGATACAAAATTCTAAAAAAATTTAATTTTACTTTATAAGCTAATTTGATTTTTTTAGTAAAATAAGTTGAGATTTAACATCAACTCAAAAAAAAATTTTTTTTGGAATTTTGTATATTTTTACTATGTTCCTATATATATTAATTACTCTTTAAAAATATTTTATTAATATTTATTTCTTTATTTATAAATATTAGACTTAAATAAATTAGATTTAAAGTAATAGAGTAATAATGTATTTTTTTAATTTATTATTAGAAAAATTTTTTTAACATTATTTTTTTATTTTTTTTTTAGAAATTGTAATGAACTTTAAAACTATATTAAAATAATATTATAAAATTTTATATTTTTATTAATCTATATAAACAATTTTCTTACTTTAATTATATATAGATTAATTAGCTTAAAAAATAAGTTATTTAGAAATTATTCTAAATTAATTAAATAAAAAAGATGATTAATATATTTAAAATATTTTAATAATTCTTATTATACTTTTTCTTTTATCAAATCTTTTTATTAATTTATTTAAAAAAGTATCTATTTTAAATAATCTGACTTTTAATACATTTTTATAATTAGATAAATTTCAATAATATTAGTAGTTTAGAAATCTTATCATTTGATTTAATTTTACCTGTTTTAAGCATATACATATATATATAAATTAGGATTTATATATTTATTTGATATTATTTTTATGTATTTGTAAAAAAGTATTATATATTAATTAAATACTAATCAATGCATTTACAATTCTGAATTTAATTATATGCTTTTTATTCTTAAGTAACAGATTATTAACAAAAGCTTATTAAATTTAAATCCAAATTTAAAGAACTATACATTAATAAATTACCATAACTCGGATCATTTATAACCTCATAAATAACGTGAAAATTTAAAGGGCACAAAACAGGTTTGGCTTTGTTTCTCACGAAAGATTTAACTTATTTTATATATATACACACACATATATATTTTTAATCACTTTTTTTCCTCAATAAAAAAAAAGACAGACCAATTTGTTATTAAACGCTCAAAAAAAAAAAAAAAAAAATAACCGTTAATTGAAGTACGCATCCGTAATTTCAGTCAATTGACAATTTTTAATTTCGTGTTTCGCGTAGCTTTATGGAATACGTTAAACGACTATATTTTATTCAAAAAAAAAAACTACCCGTCAATATCACAATCATTGATACGCGGATTGATTTTCCTTTTCTATCCTAACGATATTCGTATATAGGAAGGTGGCGGATATAATTCTAAATTTCCTTAATAAGTGAATTATTGCCAAGTGAATTTTTTTCCTCCATTTGCACATGAAGGGAACAATTCTTCAAAAAAATTATGTTGTGTTTCTTTTTATCATAACATTTATGGACAAATAAAAAAAAAAAAAAATTTTTTTTTTCATCTATTTATAAGTAACCATTTTTTACGATGATTTATTATTCTTATTCTCTCTTACCGTTTTAACAAATCAAAAAATATGGGAGCTTTTCAGAAAGGAACCATACTTTGGCCTGGTGGAATCGTTCCATATCAACCCAATGCAACTCATCCCTTTTGGCCCTTGATCATAAGAGCAATAAACGAGATGAATGATAAAACGGTGGTCAAATTTATCGAGAGAACGAATCAAACAGATTATGTTTATTTCACTTCCGATAATACTGGAAATTGGTCCATTAGCGTAGGTAAAGCGGGAGGACCACATCAAGTGAACATTGACAAGAATGTAAGATCCTTGCACGAATTGGGGCATGTTATCGGGTTGATACATGAACATCAAAGACAAGATCGAGATAACTTTATTGAGATTAAAAGAGATTTCATAGATTCCGGAAACGAATGGAACAAAAACAACCTCCTTGACACGATGGAAATCGAATATGAAACCGAATATGACGTTCACTCATTCATGCAATATTGGGATACCGCTGGTGTAAATAATGAAACAAAAAATAAAGAATTGGCCAAAAGGATTTTTACCGGTATTGCCACTATTGGAATCTCAGAAATTGGACCTAATGTTGAAGGTCGTTCGATGGTATATAAACGTGATAAAAATTTACGTATTAGTACTAGTGAATTCCTTTCTCCTTTGGACATCGTTTGCATTAATAATGTCTACCGTAATTACGCACCTGCATCCTGATGACTCGGTGAATATATGGTAGTGATTAGTTGGTCAGCGGTGGATGACCCGAGGGTCAGTAATTTCGGTATTTCGGTAGGGAGGGTCATAATATAAACGGTATCTGAATGACGCGCAGATGCAAAAATTGTTTTTTTCCTTTTTAATATATTTCATCTCTTTTGAACGAATAAAAAGTGTGAATTTTTATTTTGTAAAAAATGCTTTAACATGTTTCATTTTCGGATAACCACACCTTTGACAGCGTTTCTTTAAAATATAATTTTAATTTTAAAAAAAGAAATCTTTGCTTTTTGTTCTATTAAAGGATGTCTTTAACAAAATTTCATATTATAAATTAAAATCGAAAAAAAAATTCGTTATTTATCCTGATGGCATTCTTTTGGTTATAATTATAATAAATGCAAAATTTAACAAAAACCTGAAAATCTTAATGAATGAGCCAAAAAAGAAAAAGATTGCTTTGCTAGCATAAACATCCTATACTTGTTAACTTTTTTTTCATTCTTTAATCCACGTTTTTTTCAAGGCTAAACTTCATTATCGACATCGAACATCGTCAGGTGTCGGTTGTAATTCTTAAATTTGCTTGATCCACAATCTTTTGTTACCTTATTTGGAAATTTCGATTAAAGATAAAGTAAAATCAAAATTGCAAAAATTCAATCTTTTTTTTATTATTACATAAACTTCAAATATATAGAGTATATTATTAATATTCACAATTACATCATTATACAAAAAAAAATTTCTATAATTCCCAAATCCCAATCTTTACAATGAAAAACAAAACTTGTTCAAAAAATTTCTACAATCCCGCCAAAATCCCATATCCCAAATCCCAAATCTTTACAATGAATAAATTAATAAATTAAAAACTTAATTATAAGATTATTTCATCTGAATCATTGGGAGTATTAAGCAATGCTGTACGTTCATTAGGAACATCAATAATGACGTTCTCTTCAATAAATTTGTCTTCTTGTTCTTCTCTAAAATACCAACAAATACACATTATAAGGAGAGTTCCTTGAAGGCATCCTGTAATAAGGAAAACGATCCATGTTGTCCATCTGGTACCCTCACGAGTAGCAAGCGAATATACGAAAAGGAATGATCCTATTTTCAAGACGTTGAATGAATAAAGAATTTCATGCCACAAAAATTATAAAAGCGTACGTAAAATGATTTCATTTACCTGGAGTTTGAACCAACATCATTGGAATACTAAGAGCTCCAACAGTCTAGATAAAATAAAAATTATATGAAAAGTTTAGCAAAAGTGTCATATTTTAATCATGTAAGGAGGTTCTTGAAGGTCATTACCTTTCTTTCCCAAGTTCTCCAAATTTGAGGTAAATATTGAACTGAGGCTAAAATCAAAGAAATAATTCCTAATGCATCTGCCCAATATTTGGTTGTATCATGTTCATCGGCTTTACCAACAAATATTAAAAGATAAGCAGAAATAGCAAGCGTAAAGATGAAATGTAAAGCAACAAAGGCTGTAACATAAAGTGATACGATCCATTCCTTTGATAATGCAAAACCATCAATACCAATTGGTATATATTTTCTGTATTGTGGAAAATATGCCATGAACAATATTAAAATCATTGTAAACATAAACCATTGGATTGTGAGTTGAGTAACTCCCAAAGTATTTTCAAAACAAACTCTACTAGACTAGAGAAGTTTTAAAAAATGGGACAAAAAAGGGACTTCGTATTTACATATATTCTGAAAAATCAAAAAATCAAAAAAAGATATATATTTATTTATATATCAAAAAATTTTAAATTTACTTACCACATATTTACAACATTCAAGTTGAGGAATTTGTAAAATTAAAATATTGAAAAAACTGCAAGTCATTGAAACGGCTCCCAACAAAAGAAACCATGGACTAATTCCTTCACTAGACTTGATACTAATAATTCTATAATGCTATTAAAAAAATGTAAAAAGATTATTTTAATTCTTTTATCTAAATAATAATAATAATAAAAAGAACATTTCTATTTAATTTACCTGTGGTAAATAACTAATTAAAAGTCCAAGAGCAATAAAGACCGCAATAAATACTTCTAGAAAATTATTGTCAGTACGACAATCCTTCGGATCAATATCAAATAATATACGATCCATATTTTACAAAAGATTTTATTATTGTTATTATTATTTTTATTTCTTCGTTCGTAAACAAAATAGGCGAAAAAAAAGAATAAAAAATAAAAGTATTTATATGTAAATTTTAAAGTATCTGGTTCAATTATTAAAGATAAAGAAATGGTAAACGATAGATTATCAAGGATTTTAAAAGTTTTTTGTTTCCATTTAATCGCATGTGCGATCCGCAATTTAATATTTACACAAGATTACGCCTGTTTCATAATTATCATCCATCAAAAAAAAAAACCAAATTTTTGGATCTGATCTTTAATGTTTTGGTGGATTTATAAAATTCAAAGATCGATATCGAAAAATGGCAAAAATGATGTTTTGTTTGTTTATTCCGAGTGTAACTAAGAAAATCACGAGAGACATGTGATTTACTATATCTTGTCGCTAGTCAAGTAGATTTATAATAACAATATTTTTTATTATAACGCGATATATTACTATCCAAAATATACATAAACCGAAATCTATATAATCAGATCCTATAAAATATTTGATATAATTTAAAAAAAATTTGTTCTTTCTAATTTTCTCGTACACTTAAAGAAGGAAGCAAAGGTGATTGTTCATTAGGTTCACTAGGTCCACTAGATTGAGCTTCAATTTCATTAACAGATCTTGAAGAAATTCTACGTTTTTCTTTATAGTACAAAACAAGACATAATACAAGAAGAGTTGCTTGTAGGATTCCTGCGATAAGGAAAGCAATCCATGAGGACCATCTAGTACCCTCACGAATTTTAAGAAAATACACGAGAAGGAACGTTCCTAGTTTCATGGGGGGGGGGGGAACATGTTAATAAATAGGAAGTTTAAAATGATGCACGGATTTTAAAGCGGAGAATAATTTACCTGGAGTTTGAACAATCAACATGGGAATACTAAGAGCTCCGACAATCTGAATATAAATATAAAAACAATTAGAAGAACGTTAAGAGAAAAGTCAATTATATTCATAGAAACTTTCTTAATGGTCATACCTTGATTCCCCAAGTTTCCCAAATCTGAGGTATATATTGAATTGATGCTAAAATCAAAGAGAAGATTCCTAATAAATCTGCCCAATATTTGACTATATTATGTTCGTCAGCTTCTCCAACGAATATTAACAAGTAAGTTGAAGTAATAAGTACAAAGAAAAAAATTATTGTGACAAAAGCTGTAATGTAGCGTGAAACAAGCCATTTCATTGAAGTTTTTATCCTATTATATGCATTTATGTCAGATACAATTTTCAAATGTTCTGGAAAGTATACGATGTACAATATTAAAAATATTGTAAACATAAACCATTGAAGTATAATTTGAAGAATTCCCAAAGTATTCTGGAAACAAAATCTACCAGACTAGAAGAAAGAAAAGAGAGACTTTTTGATTTTGATATTCTTTTAGCAAGAGAGAAATATTCTTTGAATTTAACATACCACAAAAATCTTGTTTGCTTGTAAAATTAAAATATTGAATAGGTTGCATGTTAATGAAATAGATCCACATAAAAGAAACCATGGATTAATTCCTTCACTAGTCTTGGTGTTAATAATTCTATAATGCTATCAAATATTTAAATATATACTGTATATACGATATCTTAGCATGATAAACTTTGACCAAGCATTCTTTTAACTTACCTGTGGCAAATAACAAACCAAGAGACTAACTGCAATTAAAGCTGCAATAAATACGTCTACAGGATCACTAAAAGACGGACAACGCTTTGGGTCAACATGTAATAATAATTGTTCCATCTTTCAAGAAAGGTTTTGTTTCATTAAAATATTAATTTGGCGCTTTTATTTCCATTTGAATTGTCAGGATTGTCACACAAGATTATCATAAAGGTTACACCTAATTTTAGATCAATATCATGTGATAAGTTATTCAGAAATTTATTTTAATTCTAGCAGGAATTATAAAAAATTTAAATTATAATTATAATAATATTCGTTTTTATGGTAAAAATAGTCATAATCAATTTTTAGTATACAAAATTCGGAATAAATCAAATACAACCTAAATGGATCAAGTATATTATTTTATATTAGGTTCTTGATTTTGTGAAAATAAAAATGATTGTTTCAGCAATTCATTCCTAAACAAATATAACGCATTAAAAATTTGGTTGAACGAAATATTTATATTTATATATAATATTCTATAATTACCTTCTTTTGAAATCGTAAACTAGATCATCTAATCCGAACACACTAGATGATTGATCGAATTCTTCTTTATATTGTTTGCTTCGATTCTTTGCTGGTTGACTGTAAGAATATAATATAATAAAAGAAAAATAAAATGTAAGTTTAAAATCTATATTTAATAAGAAAAAATTCTTCGAATAAACTTACTTGGCCGACATTCCCTCAATGGTTAGCATTAAATTTGTATTCGAGTCTTTACCGCCCCCTGTTCCTGCGTTAGCATTCATTTGTGGCGTAGAACTAACTTTACAATTTGTTACTTGGAATTTATGACTTAAAGAATGAACAGCAGCAATACTTTCACCATCTTCACCAAGATTCACCAAAACGTATGAATCTTTAGGTACATCTGAGGGAAAAGGTTCATCCTCAAACACATAATGAACTACTGGATGTTTCCAACACTGTTGTAATTGATCATGAATTACAACAAACTGTGGAACGGTTAAAGGTCCCGAAGAGGTTGTAGGTGGAGGTTGTTGCATAATGAAGAGATTATAGCTTATGGTGTTGACATCGATGATATTTCACTTTTCGATCTGCACCCTGAGTAGATCCCGTGATGAACTATTTACCATTTTTTTCAGGGGCATATTAAAACCTGTTAATGATCTTTTTGGCGATCGTGATATGTAATTTTAAGACGCGTTTTGTGCGATATAAAATAAACTTGTCGATTTAATGGTACCAATCATGAATCAACTCGATTTCTGAGTTTCAATTAATTTCTCGAGTCACGGATCGACTCGATTTTTGAGGCTTCCGAGATCGGTCATCTGATTGGGTCCCGATCCAAACCCTCCCTGAGATCATCCTATGTGTGATACATTGATACAATTTCTATTCTATGTATTATATTTCCTTAATAATTTAAAACCCGAGTTACAATACGCTCTCTATCTTATCTTTAAAACATTTAGATAATGTTAACAAGATAGTTTACACGTAACCAAGGCTTAAAAAGGGCTTCATATTCATATTCTTTTTTTATCAATTTTATATAAAAAAAAAAAAAAATTTTCACATCATGTCTCCAAAGAATCCTAATTCTAATGATTCTAACGAAGAAAGAACAATGTTTATAGAAATACCCTCGTCAGATGTACAAAGCACCGAGATATTAGCAGCAGATGAGGAGGATAACTTTTCCGATGATTCGATTTTACTACCTGATGATACCGCTAAGAAGCAAACTGCGCTTGATGCTGTTATAACAAAGATCGGGATGGGAAAATTTCAAAAACAATTGTTGGTTCGTTGATAAATATTTTATTTATATCTGTGGGTTTTGTGGTCTTACTTGAAAATAAGTTTGATGGAAATAGTTTTCATAGAATCAGTTATCGGGATTACGAGGATATCGAACAATTCAGTAACTCGTTTTTATTCTAGGTACTTTGTGGATTAGGGTGGCTAGCTGATAATGTATATATTCTAGTTGTTTGCTTTTTTTTTAAAAAAAATATTTTTCTAATTCCAAATATTTATGTAATATTAGATGTGGTTACAGGTAATAATCGTTTTCACGTGTCTGTCATGTGCTTTCTTGTATAATGTCATACAAAAAAACTCTAAATTTTAATAATTATATGCAATTGATCTAAAGTGTATAGCTGTTATATTACCGAGAGTGCAAAGTATGAAATGTCTCAATGGATCTCATGACCTTATCATAACTTATAGTAGCTTACATACTTACATATATTATTTTATTGTCGTAGGACATTTTGAATTGCCCGATTCACTCATCGGGGTATTGTCAAGTTCCTTGTTTACTGGCATGATGTTTGGTGCCTTATTCTGGGGTGTTCTTTCAGACACTCATGGTCGTAAACAAGCATTCAACTGGACTTTAGCTGTCACTACCGTTTTTGGCATAGTTTCAAGCGTTGCACAAAGCTTTACTCAATTATGTGCTATGCTTTTCCTGTTGGGATTTGGCGTGGGTGGAAATATGCCGGTCGATGGTAACAAAGATTTTTTTTAAATTTTTATCGTGATTTCTACGTTGTTCATTGAGGTTAAAACTCTTTCATAAAAAATTTGAAATTAGGTGCATTGTTCCTTGAATTCATACCAAAAGAACATCAATACCTTCTCACTTTTATGTCAGTATTCTTCTCACTTGGTGCAGTGCTCAGTTCAGTTTTGGCGTATATTATTTTACCACCGAACAGTTGTCACGAACAAACGGAAGGAACAGGCTTTGTACTATGTGATGTCTCTAAAGATAACAACGGTTGGAGATATTTGCTGGCGATTTTAGGATCTTTGGTTAGTTTCGTCTACAGGGATTGACCCTTGTTTATATATTATAAAATGATATTTACTTACTTTCTCAATTTTGTAGACTTTCTTAATGCTCATGTCCCGTATTTTTTTTTTTCGACTTCAAGAATCACCTAAATATTTAATGTCACGTAATCGCAAACATGATGCTATACTTGTGTTGCGCAAGATCGCAAAGATTAATGGTAATGATATGCAGATTCATTCCAGTGACTTTCCGACAACTCCCGCTGCGAGCAATACAAATTCTCGTAATGATTCATTCCCCGCTTTCCCTTTCCCGAATGAACCTCGGTATCTTAAAGTCAAATTCATCTCGGATCCTATAGCATATATCAAGTACCATATCTCATCAAATTTGAATGCAGTTAGACCTTTATTCACAAAAAAATGGATTACCACAACCGTTCTTGTTTGGGGTATATGGGCTCTGGTATCTTTTTCTTATACTATGTTTAACGTATTCTTACCAAAATATCTTGAGAGTTTGGGGTTAAATAACGGGGAAAAAGAGAACAGTTCATTGATGCATGATGTTTTAAAAGATTATGTTATATATTCATTATGTGGAGTTCCTGGATCCTTGGCTGGATCATGGTTAATAGAAACTTTTCTTGGTCGTATTGGAACCATGTCAGTTGCGACATTTGGTACTGCGTTATCTGTGTTCCTTTTCTCGGCAGTCAAATCGCATTCTGGTGAAGTAATATCTTCAGCTATGGTCAACTTCTTGGCCACACTGAATTACGCGGTTATATATGGATATACTCCGGAAGTATTCGAGTCAAAAATAAGGGGCACAGCTTGTGGGATAGCATCTGCTTTTGGAAGAGTGTAAGTGATTTTTATTATTACATTTTGGAAATACTATTTCTAATAAAATCGATTCAATCCAGTGCCGGTATAATTGCTCCAGTGATAACAGGCATTCTCCTTTCAGTTAGCATATCTGTGCCATTATACGTTTCTGCATCATTATTTGGAATATCTGGTGTTTTTATGGTTTTATTACCTATCGAGACTAAAGGAAGACAGGCTTAAAGGGGGAATAGAAACATATCTATATATATATATGATAATACAGAATTTTTAGATCAAAAAGATGTATTATAAAAATTACATGAAAATTTTTGGGATTGTTAAATAAAATTTTTATTTTATATATCGTGATTTTGTATTAGTTGTCACGTTCTCGTGAGAATTCATGCAGTATACCGTGACACAAGATTCCTTTGATCCACTGCATGTTGGCGATCGAGCTTGCATTTTGTTTTCCATTGTTCGTAAATTTTATTTTCGTTTTGGTTATTTCTACTAAACGATTTCTTCACATATAGAACAAATAGAAAAAAAAAATGAACGTAGATAAACTTTTTAATATCCCTTCTAGTTCCATTCCAAGTGGAAAAAATAAAAGAAAGCTTACAGCAAATCCAAACATTGAAGTGCTCAAAGCAGTACGTCAAAAGACAAACCCTGAAGAAGACGAAGAAGTTTCTGATTTTGTTACGGGAAATACAAATTTCAAAATTCCACAACCTATTTTGTCGAAAAGTGCACTTGTCACTTCTAGTTCTTCAAAAGGAAAGGGAAAGTCTGTACAAATATCCGATGAAGTAGAAGAACAAGAATACTATATTGATGAATATGAAGATGAAGAAGAGGAAAAAGATTTAGAAGAGGAAGAAGGTGGAAGATTTTACGGAGGCGGATTAACTGAAAAGCAGAAGAGAATTTTAGATTTAGTTGATCAGACCGATATTGAAGAGGTTTGTATTTTTGATACATTTATGTATATACAGTATATTATTTTTTTTTTTTAATTAATTTGAATCATTCACGTTATCAAAGCAAGAAACATTAGATTTAACCGGAATGCGTAGAATGGTTATAAAGTTTCAAAAAGTTTTAAGTAAAAATCAAGAACTTCGCGTTAAATATCCCGATGATCCGACAAAGTAGGTTTACTTATTACCATCCATTATAATGTTCAACAGATTTTTTAACGTTTGTTTTAATCATTTAGGTTTATGGAATCAGAAACGGACCTTGATCAAGAAATCAAACACTTATTAACTCTTACCGAAGTGCCTGATCTATATTCTCAAGTGGTTGAATTGGGAGCTGCAGCTTCTATTGTGTCACTTTTAAGTCACGAAAATACCGATATTACTATAGATGCGATAGAACTATTGAACGAATTAACAGACGAAGATGTTGTTGCTGAAAATGACGAAAATGCAATGAAAATTTTCATTGATTCATTGGTAATATTATTATTCTTTATAAGGTATGATTGATTTGGTACCAACTATGATTTTTGGAATATTAATATATTAAAATTCATTTTGATATATTAGCTTGAAAATCAAGCGTTGGAACTTTTAGTTCAAAATCTAGATAGATTGGATGAAAAGGAAACTACTGACAAGCAGGGGATTTTTAACACTCTTGGTATAATATATAAATAGATAATAATAACATTATTATAATGATTAATTTAATAATAATTTTTTTTTTAAATTAATTTGTTAGGCATAATTGAAAATTTTACATCATTTGACCCTGCAATATCTGAGAGAGTTGTTCGAGACACGAATTTATTACAATGGATACTTAATAGGATTAGAGTCAAAACGTTTGATTCCAATAAACAGTATTGTAGTGAATTGTTGGCAATTTTATTACAAAACAGTCGAGGTACTTTTGTTTAATGAGAAATACATTTGTTTTAAATTTTAAATCTAAAAATTTTTTTATTCATTCTTTAGTTAACAGATTGAAACTTGGAGAGTTTGGTGGAATTGATGTTTTGTTACAAGTGCTGAATGTATGATCTTTTTTATTAGTCAGTTCGGTTTTATAAGAATTAAAAAATAATTATTGATTAGAATATATATTATATATTTATGTATTATAGTCTTATAAACGTAGAGATCCAAAAGATGCTGATGAGACAGAAATGATGGAAAATTTTTTCGATGCTTTATGTTTAGCATTAGAAGAACCAGAAAATAAACAAAGGTTTTTAGAAGGCGAAGGTGTCGAACTGATGCTAATTATGATGAAGTAGGTGTTGATTTTTATTATCATAAAATTTTATAGCTAGAGCTAATGTTATATGTAATAAATTATTAGAGAAAAAATGATGTCTCGCATGCGTTCGATAAAAGTGTTGGATCATGCATTGTCATCACCTTATGGGTTGAAAAGTTGCGAGCGATTTGTAGAAATATTTGGGCTTAAAACGCTCTTTTCTACTTTTATGCGTAAGGTAAGAAAATATTATTTTTTATATATATACATTCACATCAAAGGGGTTTTTAACTTGGTTATGATGATCATGTCGTGGTATTAAATCGCATCTAATGTGGTTCTTCGATTATATAACCTGTAAAGAATATAGTTATCTTAATCTTTTATTTTTCCCCTGTAAATATAATAATCTAAGGATGAGAATTAGACCGTTGTGATATTCTTTGACAATCATGATATATCGCAAAAAGTTAATATGTATTTATTTTATATTGTAATAGGGTTTAAAAAAGCTCAAAAAGTCTTATAAAGCGTTCTCCGAAGTCGAAGAAGAAGGTGCTAATTATTTCTTTTTTATGAATTTAAGATTTATCGATCCATTATTGATTCATTAGCTCAACTTTTTTTTGAAAAATATGCAGAACATGTAATGGGAATAATTGTTTCGTTATTAAAAAACCTTCCACGCGATATCGAAGCTCGAATGCGATTGATAAATAAATTTATTGAAAATGATTACGAAAAAGTGGACAGATTATTGGAAATGAGAGAAAGTTATGAAGCTAAAGTAGCAAATATCAATAAGGAGATTGAAGAAGAAAAAGGGGTATTTACGGATATGTTCTTTCTAGTTATGAAGCTTTTTTTTATCTTTGGCTAATCTAGATCATTATTTTAGGATTTAGAAGATGAAGATGGTGAAATGGAAGGACATTATTTAAGACAGAGATTGGATGGAGGATTATTTACTTTACAGTATGTGGACCTTACAGTTGCATGGATTTGTTACGAGGAACCTGCGGTACGTAACATTAATTTTTAACTCTAAACAAATCGAAGATATAAAAGCGTAAACAATTGCCATAACAATAATGACAATTATTGTTGCTTATAATCACATGATGAGATGTAATTAATTTAACTTGATCGCCATTGCATTGTGTAACATTAAATCTTTAATTCCCTTTTCTGGAAATCGTGAACAGATCAAAGACCACGTTAAAATCCTTTTAAATCGGACAGGACGTAGTTTATCTAATGTAAAGACTGTTTTAGAAGGTAAATCAAAGGTTTTCTTTCTTTGTCTGTTAATCTTTTTGACAAAAAATTGCTATTCCCCTTATTCGGAATTTCTTTATATGCTGTATTCCCATTTTGGAAACGTTTAATTTATTAATGATTCAAAAAAAAATTTTTTTCTTGGTATCACCAGAGTATTACAAAAACATAGGCGATGATGATCAAGTTGGGGCTGAAGCAAATAATGAGAATCAGCTTTCTAATGAAAGTATTAGTTTGATGGACGTAGACAACGAATCATTAATTGTAACAAAGACAAGTGACACTATAAAGGAGAGAGTATTGAAAGAAAAACAATTAGTTGAAATGTTGATTGGTTCATTATAAACAATTCCAAATATCTTCATGTTTAATAATATCTTTTTAAACTTTGCCAAATATTCTTAGCGTTTTTATGATGTAAACCATTTATTTTATTAAAATTGTTTCGTGTATGACCAAATAAAATCTTTAACTTGCATTGTAAAAGTTTAATTCTCTTTTAAGGTTAATAATAATAATCGCTATATATTTTTTTTGATTGGTTGATTGATAATGAAGAAAAAAAGGAATTTTTATTAAATGAAATATTACAGATGATGATTATTGGTAATTAAAATCAAAATTTGAAGTTTCAATACCCGTACGACATCGTGTAATTCCAAAATCACTAAAGAAGGCTTAACATGAATTTAAAAAATGTTTGACTTGCATAATGGTACATGGACGATGTTATCCTTTTTCATCATTTCGTGTTACCGATCTTCGCGGTCTTTGTCGTAACCAAATCTTTGTCAGTCATTAATATAGTCATGCTTCAAGTGTTTTCCAATCTAGTAAACAAGGTGACCCTTACACAAATGGCCATTTCTATAACTAGATAACAAGTTTGCTTTGTGAAATTTTCCACTATAAAAGATGATGATCTAATTATTTTTTCTTTATTTTATCTGTTATTAAAAGTATTAAAAGGCGCTTTTCGAACTTCATGGTCGGAGAATTAGGGATATTTTTTTGGTAGTTTAAAAGACTTTTTTGGATTTTATTAACGCAATTCATATAAAGTATCAATTTCAATCCCTTTGTCCATAAACTTTCCAAAAAAAAAAACACTTTCCTTCTATTTCATTGTCATATTCGCCTCATTAAAAATCATCATCTTGTAATATATCATCTTTCACGCTGGCGTGTGCAGCCTTCAATTCATAAATTTTTTTTTTCCTTTTTTTTTTTTTTTTTGTTAATAATTACATTTCAAACCCTTTGTACAAATAACTTCTAAACATGACTCGATTCACGCCTGCAACCTTCAAATCCATCCCTCTTCTCCTTTTATTAATATCGTCATGCGCCATAAATGTTCTTGCTAGTCCAACCCTGCATCAGGACATGATTTACGCTAGTGATAATTCTGATAATATAGATAATGTTGTCACAACACCAGATGGTAAACCAGCCGAAGGATTCGATTATACAGAAGAAAATGCAAATTTAATTCCAGTCACCGGAACGCCAGAACCAACAATCAGCTCCATGGTACGTACAACTTTTACTCGATTTATTGAAATTTCAAATATTCTCCTTTTTAAAAAGAAGATATTTTTTAACAATCATTCTTTGCTATTTAATAGGGTATATTATTCAGTCCAGGCGATGTTTGCAATTACGCTCCTATATCTATCCCATCAGACATTGCTCAAATTGCTCGATTCAAACGTATTGCCCTTATTAAGCAAGGTGCATGTTCGATTTATGATCAGATTCAAACTGTTCAACAACAAGAAGGAGTGGTTGGTGCCATCATTTATAATGATGGAACTACATCATTATCGCAACCAAAACCAAATTTTGTAGCAAAAATTCCAGTTTTCCGTGTCAAAGGCGATAGTGGTAATGAATTGATGAAGAATTTAGAAAATGAACAAAACCAACAAACTACTGAAGGTCAAAGAAAAATGATCAGAATTGTTATGTTACCTTCTTCAGGTTCATTTGGTGGTTGGCAAATTGCAATCATCGTTATTGGTTCATTACTTGCCGCTTCGTTCTTAGTGTCAGGTAAATATATGAATGCATTTCTATATAAGTTTTCTTTATTTAACCCATATATATCTAGTTAGACTAATTATCCTTTTAAATTTTCTCCTCCTTAGTTTTGATTCATTGCCGCTTATATCAACTTAGACGACGTGAACGATCTTTGATGGTTGCTCAACATGAAGCTAATGTAAATGCCAAATTACAGACTTACACTTTAGAGAAATCTGTAGTTAAATCTTTCCCTATCAAGATCTATGGCAAACAAGACAAAATCTCTGCCGTCTTCCAAGTTTCCGATTCCTCTAGATGTCCAAGCGGTTCACCTGAAATTTGTTCTATTTGTTTAGAAGAATTCTCTGATGGTGAAACCTTGAGGGAATTGCCATGTTCTCATTTGTATCATATAGATTGTGTGGATAAGTGGCTTACAACAAAATCATCCAATTGTCCTCTTTGTAAGCAAGATGCTACTCCACCTGCTATCGCTGAGAAACGCGAAAAGAGATATGTTCATACAGTTCAAATTCAAAATAATCTTGATAATATCTATAATACATCTAATGAGAGCAGAAGAAGTAATAGAAGTGGCGAGAATTCCTCTAAATTGTCAAGGGTTTTGGAATTGTTCGGATATGGAGGTTCAAGCAGTCGGGATGCTCAATCTTCTCATGTGAGACCCACTGGTGGAAATCTCTTTGGCATTCAAGAACTTCCTCCCGTTGTTGTTCGTGATGAAAACTTAAACCGCATTGTATAATCGAATTCAAGGAACATGATCATCTCACGGGGAATTCATGTAGCGACATAAACCAGCACAAAATTAAAATCATTTATAAATAAACGCACAAACTACTCATCATCACTTCCCACCCCACCCCTTCACTTCACTTCCCCACCCCCTCACTCCTCACCCATGTAAAAAGTTATCATGAATTCCAACTTTCTTAGACGCATTGGCATTTGTTTGAAACTCCTGCATTTTTACATTCGCATTTGTTATCCACATTAGCATTTTTTTCGCATTTTTCATTTACGCTCATATTTCGCATACTTTGCATTCATCATACATACATAGAATTTAAATATATACTTGCATTCGTGTACATGATAGATATATACAACTTTTGCATTCATTACACGGTATATAACAACAGCATTTGCATTTTTTTATCATCAGCACAAATTACAAAATTTTTTTGCATTATCTCTAAAGCAACATTCTATTTATTATCACAAACAAATTTTTTTTTTCTGTTTCAAAATTTTTCTGTAGTTACTTTTTATTACTTTTTTTTTCTTCACATATATATATATCTTTGTTTTTTCTTCATATCTTCATTTTTTTCAATTCAATAAGTAATCGATTTAATTATTGATTATTTAATCGATTCATCATTTCCATATTTCCTTCATAAATATTTCCATGTAATCCGCTCCCTTATAAAGTCGAAAATTTCATTTTTCTTCTTACAGCATATATATAGATATATACATATTATATATAGCATACTATCTTTATATCATATTTGTATTTTTTTTATCATTTAAAAGTTCTTCATAGATTCTTTTTTGTAAAAAAAGAATTGTTTTCTTAAAGAAAATAAATCCAATAAAAAAATTCATAAAATATTTTTATATTTTACCAAAGTTCGAGTTAATAATATCATTCAAGCAAATAAATTGGTGTCTACTAATTATTCATCACGCGAGCAACGTAACCATACTCTCTATTTTTACTCTCC